GATATGCAATGAGGAACTCATGCATAACCTTAAATTCATAGGGCAGTTGGGTTGCAGCCTCTTCAAATAAACAACAATTTAAAGTTACCTCTGCCAGGCCTTTTATCATAAATCCCATTTCTTACATATTCCACCAAACCCCTAAACCTCTCCAGTTTCTCAAATGTCCAAGAATCTCTGTTCACGTCTTATGTTTGTGTACTCCCAAGAGAATGGAGGCTCATCTGGAAAAAGAACTAGATTAATCTTCTACTCTACCCTTGAGCTCCCAATTATTGGTAAAAAACTCAAGAAAAATTTATTGGCAGATCAGAAGATGGATCATTACAGGAAGTCTAGTCTAAGAGTTGAAAGAAGGTACTTTGGAGTCAGATGGATCCTGGCTATAGCAAATTATTATTCCTGTGTCTCAATTTTTTTCTGTCAATACCTACCTCAAAAGGTTGTGGAGGGTAAATGAGATGATACCTAGAAATTACTCTGAACAGTGCCTAGAATAGAGCATCCAGTAAACTGTCTGCTATGACTATTATTCAGAACACCCCAGTATTTCCCAGCCACAACTGCCCCTTCACCAGCCAATAGGGATGATATGGGGAGTGGTCTTCCATGGACAAAGCTTCCGGTTCCATTCTTTTGAAGGGAGAAATGCAAATGACTCAAGATCTTCTCACAAAGACAGTGTACCCATGTGGAGTTTCCTGGGGAGAATGATGACCACTTTAGTACTCTGCAGACACGAGGACCCTACATCAGGAGGTCCCAGCTAGGACAGTCAGTTACCAACCCTGTCACCTTTCCAGCTTACTACATGAAGCATGAGCTTAACAACAACTACCTGGAATTTAAGAACTATTTATACTCTGAAAGGAGAGCTAAACAAACCTCTGTTCTCCAAAGACAAGGAGCTATCTCCATCTTCAACGCAGTGAAGAGACCACAGGCTTTGTAAGCAGACTACCTTGAGTTCGTTTTAGAGAAAATCACTATAACCCTCTGGACCTCACCTTCCTCATCTATATAGAAATGAGAAAGGGGTGCACAGGAGAGGGGAGAGAGGATAATATCTCACTGAACTGTTGTGAGGTGTGAATGAGGCACTGGGGGCAAAAGCACCTAGCATAGCGCTTAGTACATCTCAAGCACTGAACTGGTGCTGATCCCTCTGTCCAGAGATAGGACTATGGACTACAGACAAGGTGAACTCAAAGAGTCAGAACTCAAGAGTCTCAGATACTGAAGGCTTGGGTCCCTCCCTGCCTCCCTCATCCCTCCCAGATCAGCTCTTGGACCCCCTCCCTCAAGTTCCCAGTCCCAGGCTACTAAATTGATGAAGCTAAAAGGGTTTTGATCATGTAGGTATATTTATATGTAAATACAAAACTGTATCACTGTAAGATATTGAATATGAACATTACAATTATTTTCTGAATCTGACTCAGTCCATTGATATTAAATACAAAATGAAATGATTGTAAAAAATAAGAATATACACATTCAAAGAGCTTATTACAATATAAAATTATTGAGGTCTGATCAGCTGCCAACCTCATCTTCTGTGACAGGGGAAGGTTTAGGAGTTCCTGGGATTTTCTTGGGAATGTAGAGTACTGGGGACTCTTAATCATCCCTAGCACATAAGGATGAGTGAGCTGGGAGCAGGCAGGGACAGGTTGGGTAGGTAGGGGACAAACAGTAATTGCAGGGGACCACCTCACCCAGCCAGGGGGTAAAGCTTTTTATTGACACAGAACCCAGCCAGTTTGATGCCCAGTCTAGCAGGCTAGTGGGCATCTCAGTAGACAGGGCCAAGCTGCATAAAGGAACCATCCAGCAAAAAAAAAGGGCCCCAGCTAATCCTTCCAGGGAGGTATTTTCTTAGTAGATTTTTCTCTCACACTTGGCTCCCCTCCTTCCTTCTAAGACTTCGTACCGATTGCTTCTGGCTCCGGCTGCTCAGTGAGTTCATCTCTGCCCTCCGCCTCCCATCCCTGGGACAGTGAAAGCAAAGAGAGAGTATGGAATCACAGTGGAGGTCTGTTCCCCAGATTGGCCAAGTAAGCAGCGAAAAATCATCAGATAAGGGAAATGCATGCAGAGTTAACCCAGTGTCACCACAAACTAATATTCTTGGCTCCAACAGGTAGCAACTGGAGGGAGATAAGTCATTACTTAAGGATGAGGCCCTGTGGTGGGAACATGGAGGAGATGTGTGTGTGTCCTCTTCCACCACTCTGTAGCCTGACAACAGGAGACGTGACCACCAACCCAAGTAGTCCAGGATAAATAGTAGGGTCCAAGAAGCAAGAAGTCCTGAACTGCAACACGGAGCCCCAGGAACTTCTACAAAGGAGTATCTGTGTGTATATATATTTATAGAATACGATCATATTATCACATACAATATATATTATATACACACATACATATGGACCCATACACTTAAGTGCATACACACACACACACACACACACACACACACACACACACACACACAGAGAATGACAGAAAGGACTGGAATACACGCCCTACTTATAAACGTGCTTGGCACTCAGGACGATCTCTAGAATATGTAACTTGGTCAAGCTCTCTGGGGAGAAAGGCAAATGCTCATCAAACCTCCCCATAAAATCCTAGCAAACGGAAGGAGTGGGAGACAGGAGACCTCCAGAAAGAGAATGGCGGGAGAAAGGGGGAGGGATGTTCCTTCCCCACTTACCTCGGGGACCCTGGAAAAAATCAATAGCCACAATTTGGTTTTAATAAGGCACAGTTTGATAGCAGGTGCTAGGAATTAAGAACACATTGCTGCTGGCCCTTTCTAGTGGCAACTTCACCACATTTATCTAGCCAAAGGGAAAGGCTGCCTTGCGTGCACGTGTGCCGGGAGACACAAGAAAGAAGTTGATCCATGGCTTCAGCGTAACTGATGGCAACCTATAGGCTCAGCGGTGTCCAGGGTAGTTTAAGGAAGGCTAGCCAGCAGGTAGGAGGTTCGTGGAAGAGTTACTGACCCTCCATGGCCAGAAGGTTTTGGCCAGAGGATACCATGCCCTCCTTCTCTGCGAACTCCAGGATGGCCTTGTAGCAAAAATAGTACTGCTCAGGGGTCTGGATGCTGAAGGCCCTCTGGGTCCTCATGCGTGACACCGTCTGGAACACATTAAGGGTGCCAAGCTCCTCCAGCTGTGCCAGGCAGATGTCCAGTGAGCAGAAGGTACCTGAAGAAGGAAGGAAGTGATCACATCTGGTTTACCTCTCCTCTCTTCTTCCCTCTATCAAATAACCCAGGCAGAATTGAATGAATGAATTCAAAGGCAAACTGCCTCATGGCAGAAGGTCAGGTGGCCTTGGGCCTGAAAGGACTCAAGGAGAAGGTAACGGGGAATGTTGGAGGCCAGAAGGCCTCTTACCTCTCAGGACACACACTGGGGCAACAGAAGTGGAAACGGGAAGGTGACACAGGGTAACTTCCTGCTTCAATCCCAGACAGACAGACTGACAGCATTCCCACACCTCATTTCCAGAGTCCACAAGTTTCTCAGAGGCCTAACGCAAACCTATTCCCAACTTTCTCCCAAAGGGACCTTTGAACTAGGAAGGCCCACACTTCCTGCCATGTACATCCCCTTAAGGCAAAAGCTGCTAACTCGCTCCAGAATGGAGAACACAGCACAGGGTGGGGAGTTCCTTCAGGGAGGGCTGGATGGGAAGGAAGCAGCCCAGCTTAGCTCTCTTGGATACCTGCAGTGACAGTACTAACAAGGTAACAGGGTCAGCGTTATGATGGGGTGAATAAAACATCAACCCCTAGAGGACTTGGCTTATGAAATATATATTCTGGCCATCGCTTGGTCCACCAAAAGGACATTAAAAGAGGGATTTTTCACAGCAATTCACCACCAAGGGAGCAAGTGACTTCCCTCTCCAATCATAGATGTGGGCTAAGAGCTTTGTTATTCCTCCTCCACCCCAACTGCCTCAGCAGACACCGAGAGCTGCAGTGGGTACATTACCTGTCCTGCCAATGCCTGCACTGCAGTGGACCACAATGGGCGGCTCAGGGCACTGCCCTTTGGAGCGTGCTCCCATGTTGCTCACAGCCAGACTCTGCTGGTTTCTGACCACTCTCAAGAAGTCAATGAGGGAAGCTGCTGAGGAAGGGACACCATAGTCTGGCCAGCTCAAGAACTGGAAGTGGGTCACCTGCCGTTTCTGCCGCTCCTTAGATGAGAAAAGCAAAAGTTAACAAGGTCATTTCTGCCTGCCCCTAGCTACCTCTAGCTTTTCCAGATTCTCAACGCCCTGGTTATCCCTACCACCAAGGCTGCTATCCACCACCGTCAGCTTTTCTCATAATTGCTTCTTTACTACAGACCCAAAGGAAGGGTCAGTTAATTGTTTGGAAAAGGCAGAATTCCTATACTGTACGACCCCAGTTTTTTTTTTTTTTTTTTTTTTTTTTTGAGACAGGATCTCATTCTGTCACCCAGGCTGGAGTGCAGTGGCACGATCAAACCTACCGCTGCCTTGACCTCACAGGCGTGTGCCACCATGCCCAGCGACTTTGTTCTATGTTTTGTAGAGGCGGGATCTCACTGTGTTGCCTAGGTTGTCTTGAACTCCTGGGCTCAAGTGATCCTTCTGCCTTGGCCTCCCAGAGTGCTGGGATTACAGGCATAAGCCATTGCAGCCAGCCCCAGATTTCTTAAATTCTAAGTTTTATTCCTATTTGCCGCTCTTATTGTGCTGCAGTAATATGGCTGTATTGGCTCTGAGTTAAATATCCTCATCCTGACCCCAGAAAAACAGAAGCAACTCATAACCTCCCTGGTATCCTAATTATTCCCTCTGGAGATTTTCTTTACAATAATTATTCTCCCCGTTTCAACAAGGTGAGAAAAAAGAAACCTGGATTTACCTCTGTGTTGTGAATTTCTAGCGTTGTTTTCTTATAATGATTCATGTTCTCCACGGCTAGATTGGTCACTGTGAGGAAGCCAAATCGGATCCGAGAGTCTTTTTCTAAAGGCCAGTACTGGCCACACTTTCTCCTGCCGCCTTCCTCAAAGCTGAAGACACACAGAGCAAGGTAAGCCTTCCATCCTTCCTCTCCACAACAGTAACCTGGTTTCCGCAAAATCCGGATATACCCCCAGGCAACAAGATTATCTCTTGCATTGCTTCTAATTTACACCATTGATTCTCAGCAGAAAAGAAAGGAAACCTCTTCATTCTAAACAAATGTACTCCAGGCTAAAGTTTCTGCATGTACTCATATAGCAGACAGTTACTGAGCACTTACCACATCATTTGGTCTTTTTCCTAATATGCAATAATACTTCACATATGTGGGATAAATACTGGGTGAACAGAGGAAAAAAACAGTATAGTAGCTGGGTGCAGTCATGCATGCTTGTAATCCCAGCTACTTGGGAGGCTCAGGCAGGAGAATCACCTAAGACCATGAGCCTGGGCAACATAGTGAAACTCCATCTAAAAAAAAAAAAAGGACAAAGAAAAGAAAAAGGGAAAAAAGCAGTAGAGAAAATATGATAGAACTCCCTGGCCTATACCTCAGCCACTGCTTATTGTCTTCCCTGGTAAGAGCTGTTGGCTAACAGAGGACTGAGAAAGACACATCTCCTGGAATGTTAGCAGAAGGTTTGTGTAAAAGCCTAAAGTCTCTGTCTGGGCAACATGGAACCCTGTCTCTACTAAAAATACAAATATTAGCCAGGCATGGTGGTGGGTACCTGTAGTCCCAGCTACTTGGGAGGCTGAGGCAGGAGGATTGCTTGAATCGGGAGGTTGAGACTGCACTGAGCTGAGATGAGATGCTGCCACTGCACTCCAGCCTGGATGACAAAGTGGGACTCTGTCTCAAAAAAAAAAAAAAAAAGGCCTAGGCCAGGTGTGGTGGCTCACACCTGAAATCCCAGCACTTTGGGAGGCTGACGCAGCTGGATCACCTGAAGTCAGGAGTTCAAGACCAGCCTGGCCAACATGGTAAAACCCTGTCTCTACAATAAAAATAAAAAAATTAGCCAGGCATAGTGGCGAGCACCTGTAATCCCAGCTACTTAGGAGGCTGAGGCAGAAGAATCGCTTGAACCCAGGAGGCAGAGGTTGCAGTGAGCTGAGATCGCAGCACTAACTCCAGCCTGGGTGATTGAGCAAGACTCTACCTCCCAAAAAAAAAAAAAAAAAAGGCCTAAATCTAAATCTACCTCGCCACCCTCCAATGGCCCCAAAGTATTCCAAGGTGGTACTTCTCCCACTACCTCCTCTCCAAATAAGAAATGGTTATAACAGTGCTGAGGAAGGGAACTGAACATTCTCATTCGTTTTTTTCCTTTCTCATCTGAAATAGGTTATTCCTTAAATTTGCCAGATTAGTAGACCAAAATTTCAAAAATATTCCTTTCATTAAAAGCTTCCTGGGTGGACATGGTGGTTCAAGCCTGTAATATCAGCACTTTGGGAGGCCAAGGTGGGCGGATCACGAGGTCAGGAGTTCAAGACCAGCCTGACCAACATAGTGAAATCTGTCTCTACTAAAAATACAAAAATTAGCTGGGTGTGGTGGCACATGCCTGTAATCCCAGCTACTCGGGAGGCTGAGGCAGAGAATTGCTTGAACCCGGGAGGGAGAGCTTGCAGTGAGCCAAGATTGTGACATTGCACTCCAGCCTGGGTGACAGGATGACATTCTGTCTCTTTTATTTATTTATGTTATTTTAAAATTTTTTTTTAGAGATGGGGTTTCACCATATTGGCCAGGCTGGTCTTGAACTCCTGACCTCGTGATCCGCCTGCCTCGGCCTCCCAAAGTGCTGAGATTACAGGTGTGAGCCACCACACCTGGCCCACTCTGTCTCAAAAAAAAAAAAAAATGCTTCCTGCCTGACCCATTAGGATTTACCCATTATGTTTTCTATAGTTCTACTATAGGTGAAAATATGAACAACCAGAAAAAAATGGTCAGAAAGCAATAGGCCAGGCACAATGGCTCATGCCTGTAATTCCAGCACTTTGGGAGGCTGAGGTGGACAGATCACTTGAGGTCAGGAGTTCAAGAATAGCCTGGCCAATATGGTAAAAACCCTGTCTCTACTAAAAATACAAAAATTAGCTGGGCATGTGGCACATGCCTGTAATTCCAGCAACTCGGGAGGCTGAGGCAGGAGAATTGCTTGAACCTGAGAGACAGAGGTTACAGTGAGCCAAGACTGTGCCATTACACTCCAGCCTTGGTGACAGAGTGAGACTCCATCTCAAAAGAAAAAAAAGTAACAACAAATGGAGAGCAAAAGGGATCTGGTAATTCAGGAGTGAGGAAGACAGCTCCCCTCTGGAAATAAGGAACAGATTAAAGGAGAATTGTCTTACGTTTCCCAGTAATTCCTTCAGTGGCTAAGGCCAGGACCTCAAAATAGGCTATAACTGGAACAGGGTTGCCAGAGCCAGGTATTAAAGCTTTAACAAGTTAGATCTATTCCTCTCCACCATACTGGGTTGTGAATGAGCTAAGAGATCTCAAAATCTTTGCCATGGGTTTCTTAATCCTTTTTTTTTTTTTTTTTTTAAAGACAAGAGTCTTACTCTGTCGCCCAGGCTGGAGTGCAATAGTGTGATCACAGCAACATCCGCCTCAAGCAATTTTCCTGATTCAGCCTCCTGAGTAGCTAGGACTACAGGCACGTGCCTCTACGCTGGGTAAAGTTCTGTATTTTTAGCAGAGACGGGGTTTCACTGTGTTAATCAGGATGGTCTTGATCTCCTGATGTTGTGATTGCCCGCCTTTGCCTTCCAAAATGCTGGGATTACAGGTGTGAGCCATTGCACTTGGGCTTTTTTTTTTTTTTTTTTTTTTTTTTTTTTTTTTTTCAGACAGAGTCTCACTCTATTGCCCAGGCTGGAGTGCAGTGGCGTCTCAACCTCACTGCAGCCTCTACCTCCTGCGTTCAAGTGATTCTCCTGCTACAGCCTCCTGAGCAGCTGGGATTATAGGCACGTACTACCATGCCTAGCTAATTTTTTGTATTTTTAGTAGACAAGGTTTCACCATGCTGGTCTAGGCTGGTCTGGAGCTGTTGACCTTGTGATCCACCCGCCTCGGCCTCCCAAAGTGCTGGTACTACAGGTGTGAGCCATCATGCCCAGCTGGTCCCCATTATTTCTAAAAGCTAAACTTCCCTGTTCAATCACCCATGCTTAGGGACAGAGTAGAGGTGGGGACGAATGCAAAAAAGGGATTAACTCACCGGGTGGTCATGACAATCACCAAGACTTTTTGCTCCCACACCATGAGCCAGAAATCACGATACGTATTTTCCAAAGGACCTAGAATAAAAGGAGAAGACAGGAAACATGACTCTGGGAAACCCTCTTTTCCTTTGTAGGCTTCTTCTGTTTTACTCCCCAATGGTAACTCCAAACCACAGATGTTAGCTCCCTGCTCATCCCTTCACATCCCTGCTATTCAGTGTGGTCTGTGGACCAATCACACCAGCATGGTATGGGAGAGTGTAGGAAACATGAATCTGCACATTAACAAGATCTCCAGGAGAGTCATAGGTAGATTGGGAAGGACTGTTACATACCCTCTCAGAGCCTTAATCATTAGACCTTCAGCCATCACATTCAGGCTGACAGTGTCAAATGTGTATGAGTCTCTAGCTGTTTTCATATCACCTAAGCTTCAGTCTTATAATCACAGGTTGCTTACTAAACCATTAGCCTTCTGTTTCCCATCATCTCAGATCCATTATGTCTGCAACTAAGTCTCCTCCTTCAAAATTAGCTTTATCTTGGCCAGGTGCAATTGCTCATGCCTGTAACCCCAGCACTTTGGGAGGCCAAGACAGGTGGGTTGCCTGAGCTTAGGAGTTTCAGATTAGCCTGGCCAACATGACAAAACCCAGTCTCTGTGAAAACTACAAAAATCAGCCGGGCATGGTGGCGCATGCCTGTAGTCCCAGCTAATTGGGAGGCTGAGGCACTAGAATCGCTTGACCCCGGGAGGTGGAGGTTGCAGTGAGCTGAGATCGCACCACTGCATTCCAGCCTGGGAAACAGAATGAGACTCCATTTAAAAAAAAAAAAAAAAAGTAGCTTTATCTTTCAACTTTCTTATCTCTGTTAACAATACTGGTATTCTTAAATCACTCAGTCTTAACAAGTTGAAGTCGACTCTGACTTACCCATTTCCTTCATCTCCTGGAAGCAGTCAGTCACCAAATCCTAGAGATTTTTTTACCTTTTAAATGTTTTTGGTTTTTGTTCTTTTGCCCCTATCTTCTGCCCATCCTGTTCTTCCTGCCCAACTGCACTGACACAAAGACCACATCATTGCCCAGCATGGTAGCTCACACCTGTAATCCCAGCACTTTGGGAGGCAGAGGCGGGTGCATCACCTGAGGTCCGGAGTTTGAGACCAGCCTGACCAACATGAAGAAACCCTATTTCTACAAAAAATACAAAATTAGCTGGGTATGATGGTGCATGCCTATAATCCCAGCTACTTGGAGCCTGAGGCAGGAGAATCACTTGAACCCAGGAGGCAGAGGTTATAGTGAGCCGAGATCGTGCCATTGCACTCCAGCCTGGGCAATAAGAGCGAAACTCCATCTCAAACAAAAACAAAACAAAACAAACAACAGAAACAAAGACCACATCATTTTCTAAGTTACTGTAACACCCTCTTAGTCTGCTTTTCTGAATAGGCCTTTTTCCCTTCCAGTCTACTCTGGGAACGCCATCAGTTTAATCTTTCTTAAAAATGACTTCATCAGAACATAGATACACCATGCTCACTTTTGCCTCTATTCCTTTGCTCAAGCTGTCTCCCTCACCTCCAATGCTATTCATTTTCTACCTGTTTTCAAGTGCTGTGTCTTCCTTGACATTGTCTCTGACCACCCCATTCCTTGTGAAGCTTCTTCTCTTTTGCTTTTGATGGCACAGCTGGATCTATACAGGTTAACCATTCAATTTATATACAGGTACTCTTACATCCGTTATTTTACTTTGTGGGAATTAATGATATCTCAGTAAACATGGTTCTAAGGACAAGGGATTACAGGTGTGAGCTACTGCGCTTGGCCAAATTCTCCTTTTATGGTTAGAACTTGCACAGTTCTAAGCACTCAGCAGCAACTTTCAAGATACTTGCAGACTACCAACTCCATTTCAATCAAGACAGTAACCAGCCAGGCTCAATGGCTCACGCCTGTAATCCCAGCACTTTGGGAGGCCAAGGCAGGCAGATCACTTGAGGTCAGGAGTTCAAGACAAGCCTGGTCAACATGGTAAAACCCCGTCTCTATTAAAAACACAAAAATTAGCTGGGCATGGTGGCGGGCACCTGTAACCCCAGCTACCCGGGAGCCTGAGCTAGGAGACTCCCTTGAACCCGGGAAGCGGAGGTTGTAGTGAGCCAAGATCTTGTCATTGTACCCAGCCTGGGCGACAGAAAGACTCCATCTCAAGAAAAAAAAAAAAGAAGACACTAACACTCAGGATAATTTCTTATACTTTCCTGGTGTTTCTCCCCTCTCTGCTTTCAGGAAAGCAGGGCAGCACTAATGGTTAATTTTGGCCTAGAAGTCTGCTAGTTCCACTACAACTAATAATTTTTGAGACAGGGTCTCACTCTGTCACCTACACTGGGTGAGAGTGGTATCATGGCTCACTGCAGCAAAATTATTGCTCACTCAGCCAAATTATTGCTAAGTCTTTTAGCAAGCACTAAGGTGACACTGAAATGCCCTCTCTGCAGAAATGGATGATGTCAAAAGCATGTGAGGTCTTAGAAATAAGCTGAATATCCAATAAGAGAGGATTAATTAAATGATGGCATATTAGGTGGGGTTCAGTGTCGCACACTTGTAATCTCAGCACTTTGTGGGGATGAGGTAGGCAGATCACTTGATCCCGGGAGTTCAAGACCAACCTGGGCAACATTGTGAAACCGCATCCCTACAAAAAAATGCAAAAATCAGCCAGGTGTAGTAGCAGGTGCCTGTAGTCCCAGCTACTCAGGAGACTGAAGTGAGAAGATCACCTGTGCCTGGAGAGGTTGAGGCTGCAGTGAGCCATGATCATGAGCCATGATTGCACCACTCTGTCACCTAGGCTGGGTGACAGAGTGAGACCCTGTCTCAAAAATAAATAATAGCATACCCATAATTTATACAGTGTATAAAGGTGATGTTGTAAGAGCGGTATTTTTTGTTATGAAAAGGTATTCACAGATACCATTAAATGAAACAAGAGGTATGTGTAGAAAGAGCAGAGTTGGTTAATTTTTTTTTTTTTTTTCAGACGGAGTCTCACTCTGTCACCCAGGCTGGAGTGCAGTGGTGTGATCTCGGCTCACTGCAACCTCTGCCTCCTGGGTTCCAGCAATTCTGGTGCCTCAGCTTCCCAAGTAACTGGGATTACAGGCAACCACCACCATGCCCAGCTAATTTTTGTGTTTTTAGTAGAGACGAAAGTTTTTTTTTTTTTTTTTTTTTTGAGACGGAGTTTCGCTCTTGTTGCCCAGGCTGGAGTGCAATGGCGCGATCTCGGCTCGCCGCAACCTCCGTCTCCTGGGTTCAGGCAATTCTCCTGTCTCAGCCTCCTGAGTAGCTGGGATTACAGGCACGCGCCACCATGCCCAGCTGAGAGACGAAAGTTTTACCACGTTGGCCAGGCTGGTCTTAAACTCTTGACCTCAGGTGATTCACCCACCTCAGCCTCCCAAAGTACTGGGATTACAGACTTGAGCTACTGTACCCAGCCTGGTTAAATATTTTATATGCCTATATTTGCATGTATGCATAGATAAAGGTCTAGAAGGAGATTCTGTAAAAATGTTAACATTATTTCTGAGTCACAGGGTTATGAGTGATTTTTATCTTTGCTTTCTAAATGTTCTACAATAAACATGCATTATCCTACTATACACATAAAGAAGATAGTAAGGACACCTTTTCCACATCTCTGACCCTCAGCCTCAACTACATCCTACCCTCCTGCACCACAGCAACTCTCAGATACTTTGTTTGCCACATTCAGACCACTGGCAGAATTGGAGTTCTGGGCAGTCAGAGCACATGGTAACTCAGTTACCAGACTCAGGCTGGACAAACTTCTCACAGCCTCAAAAGAGAAGGGAAAGTTGTACTTCCCAGCTTAGACCGTTTAACAGTAGATTTCTCTCAAGAAATAAAATCAGCAGTTTATACTGACATAGGTGAAACAATCCACTGACTTGAGTTGTAAAAACTTCTGAACCAAACAAACATGGGTTCAATCCCTGGTTCTGGCACTTACTAGCTGCATGGTCCAAGGTCATGTAAACTTTTGGGTTTCAGTTTGCTCATCTATAAATTAATAAACCTCCCTTGCAGAGTCTCTATAATAATTGGACATCTGGTATATAATATGTCTTCTCAATAGATGACATCATTAGTAGAATTATAGGCTGGGCGCAGTGGCTGATGCTTATAATCCCAGAACTTTGGGAGGCTGAGGTGGGCAGATCACTTGAGGCCAGGAATTCGAGACCAGCCTGGCCAACATGGCGAAATCCCATCTCTACCAAAAATACAAAAATTAGCCATGCGTGGTGGCTCATGAATTGCTTAAGCCCAGGAAGTGGACAGTACAATGAGCCAAGATCACGCCACTGCACTCCAGTCTGGGCGTCAAAGCAAGACTCCATCTCAAAAAAATTCATTAATTAATTAAATAAAAAAGAAGAAGTTGCAGGCATTATAATATTTTATTCCTAAATACTTGAGCACCTATTAGGAAAACAAGGACATCCTCCTATGGAGTAATACCATTATCACCTTTAGCTTATACATGGATAAAATGTTGGCTATTACAAAGTCTCCAATTGTTTCTTTTTTTCTTCTTTTTTAAAGACGGGGTTTCACCATGTTGGCCAGGCTGGTCTCAAACTCCTGACCTCAGGTGATCCGCCCGCCTCGGCCTCCCAAAGTGCTGGGATTACAGGCGTAAGCCACCGCGCCCGGCTCCAATTGTTTCAATAGTTTGTCTTCAATTTTTTTTCCTCCCAACTGAGGATCTAATCACAGATCCTTTTTTTTCTCTGAGATGGAGTTGTGCTCCTCTTGCCCAGCCTGGAGTGCAATGGCATGATCTCAGCTCACCACAACCTCCATCTCCTGGGTTCAAGTGATTCTCCTGCCTCAGCCTCCCAAGTAGCTGGGACTATAGGCATGTACCACCTCGCCCGGCTAATTTTTTATTTTCATTAGAGACAGGGTTTCTCCATGTTGGTCAGGCTGATCTCGAACTCCCAACCTCAGGTGATTCGCCAGCCTCCCGAAATGTTGGGATTACAGGCGTGAGCCACCATGCCCGGCCTTTTTTTTTTTTTTATTTTTTTGTTTTTTGAGACAGGGTTTTTCTCTGTCACCCAGGTTAGACTGCTGGAGTGCAGTTGTGTAACCACAGCTCATTGCAGGCTCAACCTCCCATGCTTAAGCAATCCTTCCACTTTGGCCTCACGAATAGCTGGGATCACAGGCACATGCCACCATGCCTGGCTAATTTTTAAAGATTTTTTGAAAATAAAAAATAAAATAAATAAAAATTTTTTGGAGACAGAGTCTCCTTATGTTGCTCAGGCTGTTCTCAAATTCCTAGGCTCAAGGGATCCTCCCATCTCTGTCTCCCAAAGTGCTGGGGCTATAGGTATCTGTCATGCATCATCCTTTGCCATTGGTTTGCTCTGTTATTTTTTTTTTTTGAGACAGGATCTTGCTGTGTCAGCCAGGCTGGAGTGCAGTGGTGCAATCTCAACTTAGAGCAACCTCTGCTTCCTGGGCTCAAATGATACTTCCACCTCAGCCTCCCAAAGTACTAGGGTTACAGGCGTGAGCCACTGTGCCCAGCCATGGTTCTCTTTAATCTCCGTTTAATCTAGAACAGCTCTTTGTCTTCTTTTTGTGTGTTAATGGCATTAACTTCGGAGAGTTTGAGCCAGTTTTCTTGTAGTATGTCCCACAATCTGAATTTCTCTGGTTTGTTTCCCCTGACTACATAAAGGTTTTAAAACTGGCAATACACCACACAGATGATATTCATTTCTCAATGCATCATATCAGGAGGCATACATAATGTCCCTTTGTCCTTTATTGATGATACTAAGTTTGATCACTTGATTAAGGAAGTATCCACCAGATCTTGCTCTGCAATGGTCAAAGGGCCTATGTGCATTTGATGGTCTGTTGTCTTTCTGTGTTATTATTTCCTCCTACTCTCTTTGAAAGTGGCACAATAGGTTAAGCACGGTGGCTCACGCCTGTAATCTCAGCACTTTGGGAGGCCAAGGCGGATGGATCACTTGAGGTCAGGAGTTCGAGACCAGGCTGGCCAACATGGTGAAACCCCGTCTCTACTAAAAATACAAAAATTAGCCGGGCATGGTGGCACATACCTGTAGTCCCACCTACTCGGAAGGCTGAGGCAAGAGAATCACTCGAACCCAGGAGGTGGAGGTGCAGTGAGCCAATATCATGCCACTGCACTCCAGCCTGAGTGATGGAGCAAGACTCCATCTCAAAAAAAGAAAAAACAAAACAAATGAGAAATCCTTCTAGAGCTCAGTATTTCACTGTCAGACCTATCAGCACATACTATCTATGTCAGAACACTTGCTGGAGTGCTCTGTGATGGTACAGAAACCAGCCTAGGCCTGTTAGAGCATCAATACTCATTCCTAGATTGAACTAAATCTCTGAGAAGTCCACTGCTATTCTTGGCCTCTTACTAGACAGGAAGAGCATGAGGAGCTGGCTGATGAGTTCTGATGCCCTACACCCTTGCCAATGCTAAGACTAACCCTAAAACCTGAAGGCAGTAGTGTTATGTATTTAAATATCCAGGTGAGTGTCCAGGCACACCTGGTACAGAAACCCCAAACTACTCATCTGCTTTTCTCAACCACCACCAATCTTTATGGAAGGCCAGGATCTAGTGGCCAAAACCTCCACTGAAATTACTATTCCTTTAAAAATTATGCCATCATTTGGCACAAGGAATCTTAAGTAGATGGCACAAAATCAGCAAGGGAGGGATGGATCAGCTTACCTTGCGTGCCAATGTAAGCATTCTTCTGCTTGTAGCCATCCATGAAACTGGCATTGATGTAATCTGTCTAATGATAAAAAGGAGACATCACTACAGCTGCACAGAATATACCATTTGGGTCATAAAATGATGTACTTGGTAAGTAAAACCCAAGGCGTAAATATTCTCTTCTTGTTGAGCAGAAAATGAGGAGTGAAATGGCCAGCTGAAAACCTCACTTCAATAAATGTTGCTGGGACAAGTGGATATCTACATGCAGAAAAATCAAGCTGACTCCTTCCTCACACCATGCACAAAAATTGACTCAAAATGGATCACAGACCAAATGTAAGAGTTAAAACTATCAGCATAAAATATAAGAGTAAATCTTTGTGACCTTGGTTTAGGGAAAGCCTTCACAGATATGACACCAAAGGCATAAGTGACAAAAGAAAAGACATAAATTGGACTATATTAAAATTAAAATCTTTTGTGCTTCAAAAGTTTTAAATTTTAATATTAAGGCCCCACATAGTGGCTCACGCCTGTAATCACAGCACTTTGGGAGGCCAAGGCAGGTGGATCACTTGAGGCCAGAAGTTTGAGACCAGCCTGACCAACATGGTAAAACCCCATCTCTACTAAAAATACAAAAATTATTTGGGTGTGGTAGCATGCACCTGGAATCCCAGCTGCTCAAGAGGCTGAGGCACAAGAATCACTTGAACTCAGGAGGTAGGGATTGCAGTGAGCCAAGAACATGCTACTGCACTCCAGCATGGGCAACAGAATGAGACTGTATCAAAAAACACAAAACAAAACAACACCATCAACAAAGTAAAACAAACAACCCACAGAATGCATGTATTTGGTAAGGGACTTGTATCTAGAATACATAAAGAACTCTTGTAACTCAATAATTAGAACATAAACAACCCAATTTAAAAATGGGCAAAAGAGATGAACAGCTATTTTTCCAAAGAAGATATATGAATAGCCAATAAGCACATGAAAAGATCATTCATCATTAGCCATGAGGGAAATGCAAATAAAGACCACGAGATATAGCTGGGCACAATGGTTCACGCCTATAATACCAGCACTGTGGGAGGCTGAGGCGGATGGATCACGAGGTCAGGAGTTTGAGACTACCCTGTCCAATATGGTGAAACCCCATCTTTACTAAAAATACAAAAAATTAGCTAGGCGTGATGGCACGCACCTGTAGTCCCACGTGCTCGGGAGGCTGAGGCCAGGAACCCAGGAGGCAGAGGTTGCAGTGAGCCAAAATTGTGCCACTGCACTCCAGCCTGGGCAACAGAGCAAGACTGTCTCAAAAAAAACACAAACAAACAAAACCACAAGATACTAATTTATACCCCCTAGGATGACTACAGGTATAAAAGATGAATAATATTGTTGGCAAGGATGTGGAAAAACTGAAACCCTCATACATGTATATACACTGCTTATACATTGCTAATGGTAATGTAAAATGGTGCAGTTACTATAGAAAAGAGTCTGGTTGTTCCTGAAAAAATTAAACAGTTACCATATGACCCAGCAATTCCAGACCTGAGAAAAATGATAATATGTGCCCATACAAACACTTATACATAAATATCCATAGCAGCATTATTCATAATAGCCAAAAGTGGAAACAACTCAAATGTCCTTCAACTGAAATGAATAAAATGTGGTATATTCATACAATGGAGTATGATTTAGCAGTAAAAAGGAGTTATGTGATGATACATGCTACAGCATGGATGAACCTAGAAAATACTACACTAAGTGATAGAAGCTACATATCCTAGGACTGTCTTTGTATGAGATTCCTAGAACAGGCAAATCTATGGAGATAGGAAATAAGCTAGGGTGGGTTAGAGGGAAATGGGCAGTGACTGCCAAGGGTGTGCGGTTTCTTTGGGCAATGAAAAAAAATGTTCTAGTTGACTGTGGTGATGGTTGCACAACTCTGTGACTCTACTAACAGCCACTGACTTGTATACTTCAAACAGGTCAACAGTATGGTATGTGAACTACATCTCAGTAGAAACTGTTATTTACAAGAAAAGGGTCCATCAGGACTTGCAACACTGTAGCATGGGACCAAATGAGAGGTGAGGCAAGCAAGCAGGAACATCTGGCCCATCCTGCCACACACAAAAGGCAACATGTGAATGCAGAAGGAAGAAAGCTAGGCCTCATACATGGGACCATCAACAGGACAGGCCAAACGGCTAGACTCCGTTACTACCTCAATTAACGCAAAGCAACTTCCAGTCAAATTCAAAGGTGTCTTAATTAACAGCTCCTGAATCTCTCTCTTCCAGAGTCTTCTCCTATCTCTTAATGTCCTCAGACCTATTTACTTCAAGATCATTTTTTATTATACCTACTCACAAGATCCTTTCATCCAGGCTGATAAAAGAGAAACACTGATCAGCTGCAGTTTCATGTTGTAGTATAGCTAGTTGAGAGGTGGACAGATGCAGAAAGTAGAATGGATAAGGGAAGGCATGAAGGGTTACAGAAGGATAAAAGAAAAGAAGTTTCAATAGCAAACTAGGGAAAACTGATAACTCACTGTACTACAGAGAGGTCAGACTGACTCTTTCCTCAACCTATCACTCTTTCTCCAGTAGATCCTATCACTGGGAGGACAGTGTGAACTGTCAGTATCCCATAGCTAACCTCCTAAGACATCACCTCATGGTCAAACCCGGGTTACTTGGATTTGTGTCCATTAACCAGTCAGTCTACCAATTGATCACTCTACTATTTATTTAGTCAAGAGTTTCCTCCTGGCCGGGCGCGGTGGCTCACGCCTGTAATCCCAGCACTTTGGGAGGCCGAGGTGGGTGGATCACGAGGTCAAGAGATCGAGACCATCCTGGTCAACATAGTGAAACCCCGTCTCTACTAAAAATACAAAAAATCAGCTGGGCATGGTGGCGCATGCCTGTAATCCCAGCTACTCAGGAGGCTGAGGCAGGAGAATTGCCTGAACTCAGGAGGCGGAGGTTGCGGTGAGCCGAGATGGCGCCATTGCACTCCAGCCTGGGCAACAAGAGCGAAACTCCATCTCAAAAAAAAAAAAAAAAAAAAGGGTTTCCTCCTTAGAAACTATAAATAAACAGTGGAATGACAAGCTCAAAGTTTTCCCTCCCACAGCAGCTAGTATTACCTTCATACTATTACCGTCCTACCCTGACTCAGACAACTTCACTGAGCTAACAGACCACCTGCAGCAGACCCAGCGTGCTAAAAGCCTCACTCACTCCAAAGAGGCTTCTCAATCCAGGGTGCAGCCAGTCAGCCAAAGCCCATCCTCTACTCAACCTGGCAAATACAAAGGGCATACCCTCTCTAGGACCAAGGGGAGAAGGTATGGAAAAGTACAAAAGATTTACCTGGTATATGCCAGTCAACATTAGTAAGAACATAAGTAGGAACTAATTTCATGCTTTAAAAACAAAAGAATTGTTACCTCTTTAAAGAAGACATTGTTTTTTTTTTATTTTTGAGACGGAGTCTCGCTCTGTCACCAGGCTGGAGTGCAGTGGTGCAATCTCGGCTCACTGTAACTTCTGCCTCCCAGGCTCAAGTGATTCTCCTGCCTCAGCATCCCAAGTAGCTGGGACTACAGGCATGTGCCACCATGCCCAGCTAATTTTTGTATTTTTTAATAGAGACAGGGTTTCACCATGTTGGCCAGGATGGTCTCAATCTCTCGACCTCGTGATCTGCCTGCCTCAGCCTCCCAAAGAGTTGGAATTACAGGCGTGAGCCACTGCGCCCGGTCCATTATTTCTTTATAACTAAGAATTACTAGCAGGCCGGGCGCGGTGGCTCAAGCCTGTAATCCCAGCACTTTGGGAGGCCGAGGCGGGTGGATCACGAGGTCAAGAGATCGAGACCATCCTGGTCAACATGGTGAAACCCCGTCTCTACTAAAAATACAAAAACATTAGCTGGGCATGGTGGTGCGTGCCTGTAATCCCAGCTACTCAGGAGGCTGAGGCAGGAGAATTGCCTGAACCCAGGAGGCAGAGGTTGCGGTGAGCCGAGATTGCGCCATTGCACTCCAGCCTGGGTAACATGAGTGAAACTCCGTCTAAAAAATAAAAACATTGATCATCATATCAATAAACAAGAATTACTAGCTTCAGCACTGGTCTCTGAGAGTGCTGATTTTTATTTCAATTTTGGAAGAATCATTGCATATTAAAACTGAAAATGACCCAGAGACAAAGTATATACTTGGGGGCAAATTGAAATAGTATGAAGAACTAAACCCGGCACAGCATGTTATGGGCCACTGCTATAGACTGAACATTGTGTCCCCCATGACTTCAAATGGATACATCTCAACCCCCAATGTAGTGGTACTAGGAGATGGGGCCTTTGACAGGTGATTAGGTCATGAGGATCATGAGGACAGAGTTCTCACAAATGGGATTAGTATCTTTATAAGACAGAAGAGTTCTGAAGCACTCCCTCAGCCATTCCCTTCTGCCATGGGAGGATGCAATGAGTAGGCAGTGGTCAGTGAACCAAGAAAGGGGCCCTTGCTAGGCCACAAATCTGCCAGCAAGTTGATCTTGGACTTCCGAGACTCCACCATAGTGAGAAATACATTTCTGTTGTTTCTAAGCCATCCTGCACGTGATATTTTTGTTACAGCAGCCCAAACAGATTAGGGCAGCCATGTTCAATAGAAATTTGGACTAACAGCTTTAAAATTCCAGAAGCAATTGAAGTGAACAATTCACTAAAAAACCTGAATCCTCGAAAAAACAAGGTAATGTATACTTGAAAATTGCAGAGAGCAGATTTTTTTTTTTCCAAGTCGCGGTTTCACCATGTTGGTCAGGCTGGTCTTGAACTCCTGACCTCAGGTCCTCTGCCTGCCTTGGCCTCCAAAGTGCTTGTATTACAGGTGTGAGCCACCACGCCCCGCCAGAATCGCCAGAATTTTTTTTTTTTTTTTTTTTTTTTTAAGACAGAGTCTTGCTCTATCACTTAGGCTTGGAGTGCAACGGCGCAATCTTGGCTCACTGCAACTCCTCCTCCTCCTGGGTTCAAGTGATTCTCCTGCCTCAGCCTCCTGAGTAACTAGGATTATAGGTGCCTGCCACCACACCCGGCTAATTTTTGTATTTTTAGTAGAGATGGGGTTTCACAATTTTGTTCAGGCTGGTCTCAAACTCCTGACCTTGTGATTCGCCTGCCTCAATCTCCCAAAGTGCCTCCCCTAGTGCACCTAAAAAGATGACAGGCGTGAGCTACTGCTCCCAGCATGGAGAGCAGATTTTAAGTGTTTTCACCACAAAACAAGGTAAATATGTGAAGTAATGCATATGTTAACTAGCTTGACTTAGCTACTCTGCAATGCATACGTATTTTAAAATATTACACTGTATACCATAAATATATACAATTTTTATCAGTTAAAATT